ATTTAAAATGAAAGATTATAATAGTGCCTGGCAGATAGAAAGCAGTAGGGATTAGTGTTTAACATTTTGGGGGCAGGAATCAGTGTGCCTGTATTCATATCAAGATTTCATCTCACTGAATAATAATTTTAAGATCTTGAAAATTCTACTTATTCTTACTGAGCCTCGGTTCCCATACCTGAAAAATTAGGTTGTAGTGAGGATTCAGTTTGATAATGCTTGTGATGCATTTTCTAAAGCAGCCCGCAGCAAATACTAAACACTCTTTAAATGTCTATGTTATTAATTTTGTTGTTGGTTGGTCTTGGGTTTTATTGTTTAATTAAATTTGATTCAGCAAATTTAGTTCTTTAAATGTATAATATTAACTTATTAACTTTAATTAACTGTGTGCTGTTAGAGACTTTGAAGGTTCTCCGTTAAGAGGTAATATACATTTAAAATAGCATTTACTTGCCTGTAGCAAATGACCTAGAATGTTTGGAGAGAGTAGATTTATCTATAGATAAATTAATCATAATCTTAGAAATATTTCTGTGGCTTTTTAAGCAGATTCATAGTATAAGAATTTAGGAATAAATTCCATCAGATACTAAAAAATATGTTTTGTATTAGTGAGATTTGAGTTTGTGTAATTTTATTTAACTTTTTTGATGGTGTATCATATTCATATCTCAGGGTGATTTCAATGTATTGTTCCATCTCAGTTTTATGGACAAGTGGGATTATCAAATAATAATTAAATATTATTTCAATCCTGACATGAGGGTGAAAAAGTAAAAGTCTATAAAGTTTTTTAATATTTTTTGTCAGAAAATGTTATTTCATTTCTACAGTTATATTACTGTTTTAAAATTTTAAATACAAAATGTTTTTCCATGAATGTAGAGAATGGGTGTTTAGCCAAGCAGTGGATTAAAAGAGAGTTATATAGTATATTTACCTTGTAAGTATAAGGCACCTTTCACCATTTTCTAGTGAGGAAAGATTGTGTTTTTATTTTGTCCAAATTAATGGTTTGTATTTATCTGAAAATTTGTGAAGTAAGAGATTTTCCGTTAAAGCATAATGCCTGTCATTTGCCAGTGCGGTTTATATTTAGTCAGTGATGTCTTTCACATGCAACAGATGAGCAAAAGGAAAACTCCCAACTCTTTATAACGAACCTGACCTTCATCAGAGCACTATCATATTTCTCTCTATACTGAACATCCACACAGCAGTAGTCTGCAGACATGCTCACGTAACATGTCTAAACCTAAACTTGCTACCTGCCTCTCTTCTTCCACTGATTTCTCGACTCCCATGCTCTAAACCGTATGCCTTTACGTTCTTATTTTTTCATTTTTTTAAATGATGTTGCCATTCACCCAGGCTTCCCAGGTAGCTCAGATGGTAAAGAATCCACCTACAATGCAGGAGACCCTGGTTCAGTTCCTGGGTTGGGAAGATCCCCTGGAGAAGGGAAAGGACACCCACTCCAGTATCCTTGGGCTTCTCTAGTGGCTCAGATGGGAAAAAATCCGCCTGCAATGCGGGAGACCTGGGTTCGATCCCTGGGTTGGAAAGATCCCCTGGGGGAGGGCATGGCAACCCACTCCAGTATTCTTGCGTGGAGAATCCCATGGACAGCGGAGCCTGGCAGGCTACAGTCTATGGGGTCGCAAAGAGTCAGACACAACTGAGCAATTAAGCACAGCACAGCAACATTCACGCATTCGCTCAAGCTAGAAACTTAAGAATTACCTTCTACTTCTCTTTATCCTCATTCTCTCCATTAATTGACTAGATTGTTATCAATTTTCTCTGAACAAATTCACCCCTCTTCTCTGCCATCACTGCCACCACTTCGTCCTCATATTTTGCCACCATCCACTCCCTACTGTTTGCCATGTTTTCTGATTGTTTTAGGGAATATAGTTCTACAAGTACAAAGTCTGTTGGATGGTGTTCAGGATTCTTTGACAGTTTGAACCTTTCTTTCATTTCCAGTAACTGTTCTGGCATACTTTTGTTCTTTCCTGAACACACATTCATTCATGCATTTGCAAATGTTTGTATAATGTCAACTGGTGGCATTGTGCTAAGAGAGGAGACAAAGGTAGATAAGACAGCCGTGACTATTGCCTGTTAGTGCCGATGGAATGCCATGCACACTGTTCCTGGGCTTTGATCATGCTCTTTCATCTGCCCTTTACTCTTTAATAGAGTTCCTATTAATCTTGCATAGCCTACCCAAGTGTTACCTCCTTTCTGAAGCATTTGTAACTTTGCCGGGTAGTATCCCTTCTTTGTTCCAGTAGTACTTGATATTCAGTACTTCTCTTGTCGTGCTTGCTGTATTATACTTGTTCATAGATGACCTTTCTCCCTAGTTTAAATTTATAAGTGGGAAGGGAGGAGGGAAATGAAAGAGGAACACAGAAATAAGGATTGAGGAAAGGTGCAGGAAAAGGCAGGAAGGGAAGAGAAGGAACACAGGAGAAGTATGAGCAGTAGTTAAAAACACAGACTCTGGAGCCAGAAAGGGCTTGAATCCTGATTCTTCTACTTACTGGATGGGCACATGGTATAATATCTCCATATCTCAGTTTATAGTGGGGGTAAATGAGAGGAAAATTGTGAAGATTAAAAGAGTTAATAAATATAAAGTACTTGAAAGAGTGAATAGCACGTAATATATGCTATATTGTTTTTAGTAGCAATAACTAGCTTTTGTAAGTGAGGTGAGTTATATTTCCTCCTTCATGTAGTCTTCTAAGAGGTGGGAGATTTTTAAAAAATTTTACTTACTTATTTATTTTTAACACCAAAAGCATTTTGTACTGGGGCATAGCCAGTTAGCAGTGTTGTGATAGTTTCAGGTGACCAGTGAAGGGACTCAGCCTTACGGGGTGGGCAGTTTTAAGCTGCTTATTATTACAGCTCACGCTGTGTGTTCACTTAGGGCATCTCATTCCCAAGTGAGCTTTGGACCTGCACTGGAAAGGGAGCTCCTATCCTACACTGCTGTTTGCGGTGTAATTCTGAACCTGGTCACACTGAGTGATTTGTGTCTTCGTACCAGATTCTGCCCTGCTGTGATCTTCCTAGCTCTTAGATGTGCTGGTGATAATTTTTTTTTAAGTGTTTGTTTTTTTTTTACCTTAACCTTCAGGCTTGATGGATCACTGTTTTATGTCATATACCTTAGATTTTTTTTATTAAACTCTGTTCCCTTTCCTGACTATTCTCCAGCCTGAGAGTGAGACAGAAAGGCCTAATGTCTCAGCGTAGCGTCTTGGTTCTGGTAGCAGGATCTGTTCCTGCACACCAGGCTGCTATTCAGAGAGCACTTCTGTCATTCCTGCCACCTTCTCCCTCACGCTTGTCACCCCTGCCTTGGAATATCATTCTCTGCTCCATCCTCTACTGCGGTACTGTTGACCCAGCTTTGACCAGACCATGGTATCATATCAGTTCTGCACCTGGGGTGCCTGGCATTCACAAATGATAAAAAGCTAGAAAAGTAAAGCGCTCATGATTGACTGGTGGATGACTTCATTTTTAACAAATGAGTTAGATGCTAATTGTCGTGGTTCTTCAGATTAAAAAAGGAATTTTGGAGGAGATGACATTTTAGTCGGTGCTTGAGCAGTGGAGGAGGAAAGAGTAAGGTTGTATTTGAGGCTTAGGATTCATTGTCTACTAATACTGAAGTCAGGCACTGAGATTACAGAAGTGTAGTTCTGTTTAATTCCAAATGACTGGTCCCACAGAGAGAGAGGATGCAAAAGTTGAAAAGAAAGAGATGGCAGAGGATTGGAGAAGTTGGAGAACGTTTTGTCTGTGCTCACTCTACCAGATCTCCCTGGATGATTTCATGTATTCTCTTGGGAACCTGGTAGTTCGTAACAGAGTTTCATGGAGTTTCTGGAATGCACAGTGATCTCCTGTCTCTTGGTTTCACATGCTGTTTCTTCTGCATGAAATAGTGTTCACTTGGCTAATTCTTGGGTTTCCTTGATAGCTCAGACAGTAAAGAATCTGCCTGCAATGCGGGAGACCTGGGTTCCATCCCTGGGTGGGGAAGATCCCCTGAGAAGGGAAAGGCTACTCACTCCAGTATTCTGACCTGGAGAATTCCATGGGCTGTGTAGTCCATGGGGTCTCAGAGTCAGACATGACTGAGCGGTGTTCACTTTCACTTTTTTGTCTAATTCTTACAGTACAATCACAGGAGCCATAACTTGCAGAAAAGCTTGCTTGATCCTTCAACACTGGGTTACATAACCTTGGTTGCACCGCGTTGTTACTGCCTTCACCAGCCTGTTCAAGGAAGATAGGAAATGCATATGTGATATGCTCGGAGTATGGCTGCTGCTCCAGGGTGTTTGTTGGTTGAGTGAATGAGTGGGATTTGGTATAGAGAGGATACTTGGTCACTCCTGGCAAGGGGAGGAGGCAGACAAAAACTCGGCATGTGGTAAATGGAATCACCTGATTGGACGGTAGTATTGAAAAGAGGCTGGAGTTTTCAGTGCCAAGTTAAAAAGTCCAGAGTTTGTTTAACACAAAAAGACCACTGAAGCTTTTAGAGATAGCAGCAATAGTATACGTTCTCATAAATTTAAGTGCTTGGGAAATAAGTTTTTCTAAATCTTGTTTTAAAATTTTTTTAATACTCGTCAGTGGACTAAATGTATAGTAACTGCCTCTTTGATAGACTCGTTTCTTTTTTTTTTTTTTTGACTCATTTCTTTTAAGATTGTTCCCACATAACTTACAGGGAAACTGTTAATATACTCTTCAATAAATTTTAATATACTTTTGAATAAATTGAACAACTCATTAAACTGTGCAGATTATTTTTCTCACAAACTGAACTGTTGTGAACTATGGAAATTTAAAAATAAAATTCAAATAAGGCAGCAGTCCTAACCCAATGTATAGGGGTTTCCTTCTTCTTTGTAACTTGAAGTAGAATAAATGCTTACAGCTGTGACTTTTTTTCCCTCCAGTATCTCCAGAGGCAGTTGGATTTTTGTCTGCTGTTGGGGTGTTTATTATCTTGATGCTGCTCCTTTTTCTCTATATTAATAAGAAGTTCTGTTTTGAAAATGTTGGCGGGTTTCCAGATCTTGGTTCAGGATACAGTGCAAGGAAGAATTCACAAGATAAAATTTGTAAGTATCATATTGCTGCTTCTCTTGTTTAGTCTTTCTATCTACTGTTTATTATTTTATTTAAAAAATATGATATACATTAAAAAGCTTGATTCTGATGTACAGTAACTAACTTTTAGACATTATTCTGTGAAAGATGAAAGATCTATTATCTGAACATAAATTATGTTCAGCTATCTTTTTATTGCCCATGAATTGCTACTATATTGCATAAAAATTAATTGTATATCATCATAGAATGACATTTTTATATACTTTAAGAAGAAGGACATATCTTATTACTTTCTGTGCTTAAATCCGTTGTTCAGATAGTTTTCTAGAGAGCTTTTTTCCCATGTCCCTAGAAAGCTTTTGAAAGTATTCACCTTTTAATCTGCTGTTGAATTCTCAGTGATGGATAATTTTGTTGTTTAGAAAAGGTGGTTTTCTCTAGTAATTTAGTGTGTAAAATCTGATTATGAAACCTTAGTGTTCCTCTTTCCTCCTGGGCAACATAGATATATTTCTTAGATATATTTCCTTAATAGGAAAGATGAGGGCTGTGATATTGTTCTTTTTCTTGTGAAAAAATTTTATTTTTTTAAGTTATTATAGAGTTCTTTATTTGCTGTTTCCAAAGACTGGCTTATGTAAATAATAGCAAAAAAAAAAAAGCTGAAAATTGTAAAAGTGAGACATTAATTTAGAATTTTAAGGAAAGATACAAGAGAAGCCTTACATTTTTTGTCCATGTACAAATGTTGAAGAGATGCTTTTCTTTTATATCTGATAACTTAAAAAGTGATAGCCTCATTGTTCATAAAAATCTTATTGTTGAATTACATCATGCAGATTTTGCATTAAGGAAACTGTAGTATTTTATGTGGTTTGGTTTGATTAATGTTTCTCATACTTCACTTCAGTCCTGTTTTCTTGTTTTTTTTTTCCATCATTTGTGTAGGAAAAACTGGTAAAGAAACCTCTTTTAGTAGCCTCCAATAGTTCTCTGTTTTGGCATTTCTAGGTTTTCTTTGGTCTTATCCCTTTACACTCTTAAAAATTATTGAGGACCCCAAAGAGTTTTTGTTTATGTGAGTTATAGCTCCATGATATGTACCAAATTAAAAGTTAAAAGCTAAGAAAAATTTAAAATATTTTTTCAATTTATTCTTAAAAACCCAACAATAAGTCTATTACTTGTTAATCTAAAATGTATTAATTTTTAAAACTGTATATTTTCTAAAACCAAAAAATATGTTTGATGAGAAGAGTGACATTGTTTTACATTGCAAATCTCTCTAATGACTGGCACAGAAGAAAGAAACAACTGGATTCTCATATCTGCTTCTGCATTCAATCTGTTACATGGCCTCAGGAAAACCCAAGAGCTCATTTGAGTGAATGAAAGTGAAAAGTTAAATATCCTCTTACTCTTTTTGTAGAGTTTTGACCTTGAGGATCTGTTGGAAAGGTTGGGGGACCTTATTAATTTTTCTGAGGCTGTTTCTTTACTCTCTTATTAAATAAGAATAATAATATTTACCTCCTAGAGTTATTATAAGATCAAATAAGAAAAAAATTTGTAAATCTCAATTCTTTACATGTAATAGCCACTCAGTAGATGTTCTCTCTCTGCTCTTCCCTATTCTAACTTCTGCAAAATTGTTTAGATACATAAACAAATACATATTTGGGGGAGTACATGTATTGGGGAAACCCTTAAGACATTTTTTATTTTGAAATGGTATTGGTACTTTGTTAATAATATAGGGCATTTCCCACACATAGACTATTAATAAGTTAACTAAAAAAGTACATAATAAAAATCCTTTCTATACTTCTTCTTGCAGGTATAGAATAAAAACCCAATAGTATTTGAGGGAAAAATACTGTCTTGCTGCTGTCATGACAGCTGTGGAGTGGGAAAAAATGTCATTACGTTTAAACCAAATGGTTTGATTTTTTTTTGAAGCGTCTTTTACTTCAACATATTTCTTCCATTACATAAGCATTTACAGAAAGATTAAAAGCCATAATGTGAAATACTGATATTGAGCTAATGAATAGCACCATTTAAGTAAATGTTAAATTGAAACTCCAGAGTGCTTAATATTTTGAGAAAATTCCATGATTGCAGCTTTAAGGAACAAGGAATTAGAAAATGGCATTTTTCAGAAGTTTTCAACAGAATCTGCCTTCAGTGTCCTCTCTGGTGGACACGATCAGTAATGCTGTGGAAGATTTGACCGCTGCTGTCGGGGAAGTCAGCTATGCGTTCACCGACTCAGTTGCTGAACAGGTAACAAGCATGATAAATGGCTTTCGCCCAGAAGAGGAAAGTTATGCAGCCCCAGAAGCTGCAGATACTTATAAACAAGAAAGCACCACAATACCAGAAGTCTCCAAAAACACTTGTCAGAAAGCACCATTCAATTCAGAGAACCGAGCAAATCGAATCAATAGCTATAACACTTCAGTTTCACAAAAGCAAGACCAAGGAATGAATGAAGGAGGAGGAGTTAAACATACTAATAATAGGCAGCAGATGCCATCACAATATCAAGAAACAGATAGCTCTTTGAAAGATGATTCTTCTTTGAAAGGTCGTGTGAGTGATGGTAGGGTATCAGTTAGCAGACAGAATGCAAGTGCTGGATCTACTTGGCAAGAACTTGAAAGTACTGACAAGTGTAAAAAAAATGGATTCGAAATTTACAGTGATGGTAAACATGACTTAAAGGAGGTAAGATATCAAGAAATGAAAGAAAATTACTTAAAGAAAGCTGAAACACATATTAAAAGTAAAGGATACAAAGGGAATAACTATTCAGGAAATGAGTCTTCTCCAAAAGATATTTTGGAAAGCAGTAGACACATGATACAGAAATCCATTAAGAAGGAAGACTTATATCCAGCAGCATCAACTAATTCTACAGAGCAGTGTCAAGGAAAAATCAAAGAACAAATAAATCCAACAAAATACTACAGAGGGAAAGGAGATATAAAAACAAAGAAAATTGAAGCCATTTCTGCCAAAAAAGAAACAGCAAAGAGTAAAGATGAAAAATATTTTAAGATAATACCAGAAAAAGGTGAGGTCTCCTAATGTGAGCTTGAGTGATAAAATTTTCTCTTAATTTTTTCACATTAGGAAAAACATCATCCAACTTCTTTAATTGTTCTCTGTACATCTGTATTTCTAAGGCTTTCTTGAGTCCTCTTACTGAGAGACATTTTTAAAGTCATGCAGTTTTTTCTTACAGTCCTTTCAAAAGCATGTTGTTTGTATTCCTCTGATTTAAGTATTGCCCCTGGTCCCTGCATTATTTGGACAATTTTAAGGACCTTCATTTTACTTAATGCCCATTTATTGTACAACCCAGAACTCTGGTTTTCTTAAGTACTTTAATTGGAGTTTATTTGGTGTGCTATAGTTGAATTTTAAAATTTTGTGTTTTTGTAACCTACCCTTAACCCTTTATACATTGTTGCTCTTCACATCTTTCCTGGTAAGAATCTACCAAATGTTTTATGTTTTCCTTGAGAGCAATGGATTTTTATTCTCTTGAAATACATGCTTCAGAATGTCTTTTCATTTAGCCATACATTGAGAGTTTTATGTGACTTCTGTGTTTCCAATGCATATACATGAACAATCTATTTTTATTCATGAGTTCTCTATGTACAATTAAGATTCCAACTAAGCAGTCACAGTTTTCATCCACAATATTTGTGACAGTTTTCAAAACAATTAGCTGACAGTTACTTGGTTTTGCTTTATATTGCCAGTTACCACTCCTGGTTATCCCTTGAAGTGAAGTGAAAGTGGCTCAGTCATGTCCAACTCTGCGACCCCATGAACTGTAACCCGTCAGGCCCCTCTGTCCATGGGATTCTCCAGGCCAGAATACTGGAGTGGGTATCTGTTCCCTTCTCCAGGGGATCTTCCCAATCGGGGATCAAACCCAGGTCTCCCACATTGCAGGCAGATTCTTTACCGTCTGAGCCATGATTATCCCTTAGTCATTCTCATTTATTGTTGATCTGATCAGAAGACCAGAAGTACACTGGCTTTTATTTATAAAAGATACATATGGAATTTTTGTGTATATTTACATTCTCATAAAATAACAAAAAACTGAGTAGCACTAGAAATGCAGAAGACTGTTTCAGTTCTGCTACGTGACTTCATGTGTAATAGGAATCTGCTATCTATCAGTTGTATGAATGATTTTTAAATGATATAATAGAGGCTGATCCAGGATGGATGAGCCAGTTAAAAAGGAATGTCAGTTTTTGGAAATACATCTGTTTTGAAGTTTATTCTCCTAGCAGTTGTTTGAAATGTCAGATTCAGTGGTTTTTGGGTTTTTTTTTTTTTTGGTAGCCTTAATTTAATTTTGGTAGCCTTATTACCTGAAGTAATGAAAGTTAAAAGAAATAAAATTAAGTGAAATAGTTTACATATTATCTTATTCATAAAATAACAGAATGGATGCTATTAATAAATACTTCACAGGTAGTAGTGCAGAATTTAAAATTTTTATTTGTTTTAATTAAGAAGCATGCTACTACCTAAAGGAATACATATCTCTCAAGTATTCCAGATTTTAATGAGTACTAAACTGAAAATCCCGTGGACAGAGGAGCCTGGTGGGCTACAGTCTGTGGGGTCGCAAGAGTGAGACACGATTTAGCAACTGAACCACCACCTCCAAACTGAAACATATTATGATTTAAAAACCATTTTGAAAATCATTCAACCCATATGGATTGTCCCTTCGTATAGCTGAACTGTAATTTTGCTAGTATTAATACCTGAGTCCTAGGTTCTGACAGAGCTTATAAGATATAATAAGAGGAAGAAGGGTTTCCTTCTCCGTTTCTGAATGCAGGGCTCCTTTAGGTAATATTTTATAGCAGGTAAATTTCTTGCCACCCCCCTCAGAGCTCTCCTGCTACTAGTATCCACGCAGTGCTAAAACCTGGGAGTCAGAATGCCTAGGTTCTAGACTAGATCTGCCATCATCTCAGTCTTGTCTAATAGAACTTTCTGCAGTGATGGAAAAGTTCTACGTATCTGTATTGCTCCCTACAGTAACCATTGTCCACACATAGCTATTGAGCACTTGGAATGTGGCTAGTAGCCCTGGAGAACTAGATTTTAAATTTTATTATTTCTGCTTAATTTAAATAACTGCATGTGCCTGGTGACTAAGTATTAGATAGTGCAGAATATAACATTGGTTATGGTTTACCCCTTTGACAGGTTTTATTTTACTGATTTAAAAAGTGGGAGTTAGACTAGTGACATTGAAGCTACCATATTTCTAACTCTAAATATTGAATTTCTATCCCATATCTTATACTCCTTCTTTGTCTCCCCACCAGAATTTTAAACTTTGTTTCCTGTAGTGCAGATGATTTTAGCTGAGTATAATGAGAGAAATGTCTAGACTGAACTAATAATTTCTGACTGCTGTGGTCTCTTCCTCCTTCTAGAGTTGTCTTAGAATTCTGAGAAGGTTACGTCTTGTCTAAATGAATCTCAACATGATGCAGTTTCAATATCTTTACCTTTTAAGTAAATGATATTAATAATAACTAGTGCTTTTTAAAAGAATATAAAATTAGTTAATTTACCAGTTTGCCTTCTGGAAATGTAATTTGAAATTTGGGTACATGTAAGTAAAGTTTTCCTAGGAAGTCTGCCTTTCACAGATAATGTGTTAAGTTTGGTATATATGCTTCCAGATATTTTTGTATGTGTCTATAAACTTATACTGCATGGATGTGTGTATACATTACATGTAGATTTGTGTATGTGTGTTAATCTGTTTTTTAAAATGAGACTGTAACTTCTACTTTATTCCTCTTAACATTATATGGTAGGCATTCTTTCCCTGTGAGTACTTATAAGTTCACCTCCTCATCTTTAATGATTGCATAGTGTATCATTGCACAGATGTATCATGATTTACTTAACCAAGGCCCAGTGTTGGACATTTAGCTTGTGTTTTTGTTTTCTTTTGCTGTTAAACACAATTCAGTAAATTGTCTCAGATACATATCACTGCTCATCTGTTAATTATTTTTTTAGGCTGAATTCTTAGAAATGGAATTGGTTAATTCTTATAAATGAATCAAAGAGTATACAAATTGGAAACTTTGATATGTATTGCCAGATTGCTATCTAGAAAAGTTGTATCATTTATATTTCAATCAGTAGTGTATGTCTGTCTGTTTCTTCGTTCTGCTTATAGCGCTAAGCAGTGTCAGCTATGCAAATTTTGGCTAAGATGATGACCAAAAATGTCTATTGTAACATGAATGATTTCAGTCAGATCCATATGTATTGGCAATACTTAAACTTCTTTGTGTGCTATTAATGCTTTAAAAAAATTATGTGAGATGGCAAGCCCTATTATTCTGTTTATCTGTATCATGGTTGGAAAATCCCTGTGACTAACATTTATATAATTCAAATATGCAAGTCAGTTTTTTCTAGTAAAACATAAAAATCCAAAGCTTGGGCTTCTTAAATGAAAAAATATTTTTCTAAAGCTGAAAATTCAGATTGTGTGTGTGTGTTTATGTATATGTTTATATATATTTGTGTGTATATGAATATATATGACACATACATAAGTGTATAACATATATATGACTATAGCAAATTTGCCATTATTTTATAGCATTAAATTTTGATCTGCTCTCCTTGTCATTTCAAATAGATAATTCCTACATAGACAAAGATGAGCATGGTTCATCCTCTGAAAGTGAAGATGAAGCACTGGGTAAATACCATGAGGCCTTATCCAGAACACACAATTCCAGACTACCACTGGCAGATTCTAGACAAAAGAGCTATACTTGGGAAACGAGACAGAAATATAGTCCTCTCTCTGCAGAGTATGATGGATACAGTAGTGAAGCATCAATAGATGAAGGTAAGATAGGTTAATTATTTGATTTTCTTAGATGATATGCTGTAGTATTTAATTATTTGTTTCTACAACTCTAGGCATCTGTGGTTGCACAGTAAATAAGAGAGCGTGAATAGTCTGGTCACATTTCTGGGACTGTAATTTATTCAAATTCAAATCTTTGAGTTCAAGCCAAAACCAAAACACCCAAAACCAAAACACCAATAATTGAAATACAGTGGTAATTCTAGTGCTCTTTTCACAATGAACATATGTCTGGCAGTCATCAGATGGGAAATGTGAATCTGCTGTTGTCTCAGATGGAATCAGTTCCTAAATACCTGTTATAGGAACTGATGTCTCACAGTGTTGACTATGAGTGCAGTGTGTAAATGAATGTGTTTTCATTCAGTATGGCCCCTAGCATGAGCCAAACACTTCATGCAGCATGTAGCAGAAGAAACGATGATCTGTTCCATGTAGAGGAAAAACTGAGATAAATTTATTGAGCCTGTACTGTATTGTACTAGGTTTTAAGGGGAATTTAAGGCGTTTTCAAGGATTATTTTGTCTCTAACTGATTTTTGCCTCACGTGTGGACATTGACATTTGAACTCAACCTATTTAGAAGATACAAGTCCACCCTCACACATTTTTATATCTTTCTAAAAGAGAAATAAAAAAAGCTTTGCTATTACTTACAGCATTTTTCCTTCCACATTTAAGTAAGTTGTTCATGTACTTGATACAATGTGTGTCTACTCCCAGTAATTATTATATATATGCCCAGATACGAAGAAAAGAGCAATATATTTTAAATAGCACTTTTATTATTGTATCAGATACAAATTAACCTTAATTTTATAGCTGTGGCTTGTGTTTTGGGACCTGTTATTATTGATGAGTTATTCTGGCACATACAGTTGTCAAAAGAGCTAAATCATTTACTTTTGTATTTGGCTTAATGCTAACTAAAGATTCTTAAATATTCCTCCCTTTTATTTCTGCTGGTACATAGGTATAGTAAGAAAATGAATATAGAAAACTCATTATGAGATGTTTAGGAAGAAATAAAAAATATTAGACATGGACTCTACCCTCAAAAATACCTTACTTAATACTAGAGAAAATAAGATACGTGTTTACAGCGATAACTAAATAATGCAAAAATGGCAAAGGCAGTCCCCCAGCTTATGTAAACCCTGGCTCATGAATAGTAGAACAGAAAGAGAATGGGTCTTAAAGCCTGACCTTTGTGCATATTCTGACCCTGGGACTCCCCGAGCTGTGAAGCCATGAGCAGTGTAGCTAATCGCTTGTAGGTTTGTTTCACTGTCTCTCAGTGTGAATAATAACTTGCTGATAGGGTTGTCATGGGCAGTAAATGTCATGTGTGGTGTTCTTGGCATCCTGTCTGCTGCCTGATTGGTCAGTGATCAGTAAATGGTAGCCCTCGTGTGGTTGGTGAAACAGTGATGGTGATGAGAGTGAGTTGCCACAAGCAAGCCCTGAGTGTGTCATGTGTGACTCTGGACGCTTTCCTTTTTGCAGCTTCAGTTTAGGGTTTTTCTCTACTCATTCCTTCTTTCCCTGCACTTCTGTGCTGGTTTGATTGCTTCTTCCCACTAGTCCTGTTACTCTCCCGTGGCTCAGCAGTTTGGGAAAGCGGTAAAGAGAGACACATAACCGCAGTGGCCCTTCTGTTCCTCCCCCTCCCTCTGGAATCACCTCTCATTTCACTTCAGCTGTGTATTTAGGACTCACTTGTGCCTTTCTACCATTTCTACCCTAAGTCATTTGGTAAAACATCCAGGATAACTTGATTTTAGGCATTCTGAAATGAGATTTATTTATTTCATGAGCATTTGTTGAAAGCTTTTTATGTGCCATACTAGATCCTGTGGATGTAAATAAAAGCATTTTATAAAAAACTATCTAAAAGATTAATCAAAACAAGCTTGTTTTAAAGAGCCCCCAGACTGGAGGAGGATGACCTGTGAGTACATGTGTAATGTTGTGTGGTAAAAGGTCTGTTAATTACAAGAACAGCGTCGTGCAGAAATACAGAGGAGGAGGTGATTGACACTTTGGGAGGTGAGGGAATGGGGGGTCTGCACAAGATGGGTGAACTAGACTTCAGGGGAAACTGTTCAATCACCATAGAATAGTGATTGTAGGAAAGCAGAAGACACTGTGCTTCCGAGTCTTTAACCTAGGATCTGTGCTTGGAGAAGGTGTGGTAATGAGACTGAATGCCATAGTCAGGAGTTTGGATGTTGTCTTCCAGGAAATATAGAGCCCTAGAAAGTTTTTAAGGTGGCTAGTGTGGCACTTTTAGGTTAGTATTTAAATGCTGTAATAGAAGATGAATTGGAGGTAGGAACTGCTGAAGACAGAAGGACAGATTTGATAAACAGCCATGAGATCCTCATTAGCAATGTTAATTGAGGGACAAAGAACTTGAGGGACTTCTCAAGAAGAAATTGAGGGACTTCTCAGTATATCCTAGCGAATGACTGACTGTATGTTATGTGTAAGGAAAGACTGTTTAATTAGTTTAGAAAGCATATGAGAGTTAAGTTTGTGGGAGAAGATAATTTAGTTTCAGTCATGCTGTATTTCAGGGATCTGTGGAATATCCAGGTGGAGATGGATATCCTTATTGTTAAAATGCTGGCACTGGGGTTTAGGATGGAGAGATGACCAAGTGGTAATGTAAGATAACAGTTGACTAAGAAGATGGTTTTTTGTATCATAGATTATTGCTAATTGACAAGTCAGAGATTGCAGTCAGTCAAAAGTAGATTCAGTGGAGTAAGGGGAAGAATAGGAAAACTTGATTAGAGAGGGAAATTTCAGCGCTCTGGATTTTATTTTTTTGGGGGGAGGGGCATACATACATTTATTCATCTTTATAGGATCTTCTCACTTTTCAAGGGAGGCCCTCTTCCCTAAATACTTTTTTTTTAAATATAAATTTATTTATTTTAATTGGAGGCTAATTACTTTACAATATTGTAGTGGTTTTGCCATACATTGACATGGATCTGCCACAGGTGTAATTTAAAGTATTAGTAAGTTCTGAACACGCCCACAGGCAAAGATGCAGAAATACACATAAAATGCTAAAAGGTATTAAGGAAGGGAGCAAAATAACATCCATTGGGGAAGGTGTGAGAGACCTTCCGTGAAAATGGCAATAGGGTTCAGCTTTGAAAAATGGGTAGAAAGCTGGTGAAAAAAATAAGTAGAGGTGTCTTAGAAGAAAGTTAATAAATGCCACAGTACAAAGTAGTGAAATCTAGGGACTATTTCAGGAACAGAGAAGAGGCTGTTCTTAACTCTAACATAATAGGTGTGTGTATGTGTTTATATGTATATCTATATGTATAGATATAGATATAGATATATGTTTATATATGTGTCAAATAAAATGGAAAGACAGATAAAGTCTAAATCCTGGAGTGGCTTTCTGAGAAGTTTGAATTTCATTGGTTAGCCATCAGGAACTCACTGAAAGTTTTTCACCAAGGAACCACGACCAGGGATGTACTTTAAAAAGAGTAGTTTACAACAGGAAGACTATAGGAAAAAGTCACCAATTAAGGCCTTTGGAGGCATCTGTGTGGGAAATGGTAAAAACCTGAATTACAATAATGGCAGTAGGAATATGAGAGGATAGGAGAGACCTTATAGAGGCATCATTTACTGGATTTAGGAACTAAACATATTGGAACTTCAGAAAGAAGGAAGGAGTGTCAAAAATGATCCTAGTTTCCAGCAAGTATGACTAGGAAAATGCTGAGGTCTTTAATATAAATAAGAAATCCAGAGAGGTATGTTTCTTACTTGGTAAGTGGAGGAGGAGTAGGAGATAAAAGTGGTTTCATGTATATGGTAAGGCAGAATATTTAAGCAGTTGGAAATGGTTGTGGGTCTTAAAATCATGAATGAGTTTGGGAGAAGGTTTGTCAGATCATATATACTTAGCAAATAGAAACCAAGGGAAGTAATTAAATTGATGAGGGAAAAGGTATGGAGAGAAACGAAAGTCATTGCTTTTCATTAACAGAATGAAGGGTGTCACTTAAACAGAGAAGAGTCAGTAACCGGTAAAATGGAGAATCCGTAGAACGTTGTATCTCATCAGCCACAGGAGGAGAGTTTCGAATGCCACACTGCAGAGAGACAGGATGAGAGTTCAGACTGGCTTCTTTGTCCATTAGAAGCTGATCGGTAACTCTCAGTGTACGTTTGAGTAGTGTAGACTCGTGAGTGAGACTGAAGGTGGTTAGGAGAGAGAAAGTGGAAAGTGGAAGAGTGTTCATTTGCTACCTGCATTTTCATCTTACTTTTTCTCCGTTTATCAAGAAAAAGAGGTAGTTGAAGGGGCTCACCTCCTGCCTGCAACCCCAGAACAGTAACCCTCGTCTGGTGTGTATTCGTAATGAGGCGGGGGGTGCTTCTGACACCCATGTGGGTCTCTGCCCGGCGGCTGTACCCCACATAGCTGACTCAGGAGGAATACCGCTCACTTCATGGCCGCTCACCCAAGAGGACCCCTGAGTACCGCTCTCTCGTAGGATTTTTGTTCATTTTCCAGGGACACAAGTAAAGAGGTCAGCTGAATAGGTTATACTTCTCGTTATCGATCTGACCCTTTATCTGCATACTGTTCTGCATGTTTATGAAGATTGGACTTGACTGATGTCGGTTGAGGTGACTAAAGAGAATTATAAGGTAGAAGGAAAGATATTTTTTAATGTGCATTTTTACATGACGAACTGTTACCTCATTAGGGCTGGTCAAGAACCATTACCCCATCTCTCAACTCTGAATAATTATGGCAGAGAAGCTTTGAAATAGCCAATACTGGGAGTATCTGTAACAGTAGAGATGGTCAGGGAGGGCCTGGTAGGGATTGGGAGAGACCAGGGTAGGAGGACTTTGTGACCACGTAGAGGGAACCTCCATTCACTGAGCTCCTACTATGTGCCTGACACTGAGTTTCTGTACCTGTTGTC